CCCTGAGTCTAATGTGCATGATAAAAAACTATTATACTTATTTGACACCTGTCATTTGATAAAAGCAACCAGAAATAATTTAATTACCAATACTTTTTCTTTTAACGGGAAACAAACATCTTGGACACATATAGAATCTTTTTATAATCAAGAGAAACAAAAATTTTATAGCTGTGCACCAAAATTAACAAATGCATATATTTATCCAACAAACTTTGAAAAAATTAAGGTACGTCTTGCTGTTCAAGTATTGAGCAATACTGTTGCAAGTGCAATGAATACTTACATGAGTTTAGGAGCACTTCCATTAGAGTGCTATGGGAACAAAAGAAGTGCTAGAAAAATTTAACAAATTGTTTGATTTTGTAAATTCTGTATATTTAAAAAATGAAAATATATTTAGAAATGTATATGAGGGAGCAGACTATCAGGTTAGTTACTTGAACGAAATGGAGAAATTTTTACAAGAATTAAAAATATTTAACAAGAACAAAAATATGTTGACTGATAACAATAAAAGGAATAAAAAAACCGTGGCAAAATTTGGCACTAGCCGATTTCAAATATTTGCAAACACGAAGAGTAAATCAGAAAAATGAATCGTAAAACGTTTAGTAAAAACTCAAAAATACTTTAAAAAAGTAGTAAAGAACCCTAACTAAAATAGACATAGGAACGGAGCGCATATTTTGAAACACAGGACGCTAGAAGCATTAGACTAAATAGTGAGCCGTCATTGGTTGTTTCGGAATTCGGATTAGTGCGGGAGTTTTAAATGCATTAATGAGTACATAATTCACACGTATTGCGTAACTGTCCATAGGAGTTGTATGTAATTAGAATGTAAAGTACTTCAAGTCTAGCCAGAATTAAAAAAGGTATTTATTAAGTTTGGTTAAGTGTTTAGGTGTAAACAAACCTTACTCGTGCGGCGCCGGCGTAGAACCAACACTATATGATTACGAATTGACCAATTAGGCATCGTTTTATAAAGCTATGCTTCTAGCGTCCTGTGTTTCAAAATATGCGAGCGGAGCGGGTGTTGTGCCAATGTTGTGCGCCTTCATCGGTCGCCGCTCGCATTCATTCTCAGCGCTCCGCTAGGACCGTCCGTCTTGTGCATCGAAATAGGGTTGTCGACGAAATTTCAAAAAGCAGATAATATAATTCTACACGTACTAACTAGTGTGTATACAAAATTAGAGATTGAGAAATGCGTCAGAACAGTTTTAAAATAATTATTTAAAACTGATTTTTTTATAACATTTCAAAACGGCTGTGACGTCATAATGGGCACCTTGTAGTGAAATTATGTGTAAATGATAGCATAAAGGAAAAAACTTGGAAGAAGAAGACTTTCTGTCAACGCTGTCAGTAGAGTCAGTGACAGTGACACTTCCATAAAATATTTTCAAGTTCAATTAAACCAGAATGTGTGAAACGGGATTTGTGAAAGCTACTTCGCAAATTTTACCGAAAATTGATATATTTATGATCAGTGAATTTTAAAAAAAAAAGACGACCGTTTTAATATTGGCGAAATCAGAGGTACAAAAGCAGTCAGGTAAGGATCAACATATTTAATGAATTATTTTATTGTGTTTATTTATATAAAACACCTATTTATTTATGGAAAATTATAGTGCAGTTCGGGAGTCTTCTGGAGATAATGCAATTGGCTATGTGCAGGTGAAAAAGGAACACCCAATATGTTTAGTTAAAGGAAAAATTTGCCTTGAACACAAAGTACGTAGCAAAGCTTATTGCGTTACTCTTGAGGTTGAAGGAGAAGACAAGGTTATTGACATTAAATGTCACGATTGTGCTGCAGCTGCAGGTAATTTTTTTTACTGTTGATAATATTTAAAATATTTAAATTTTTACAATTTTAATATAGTTAATAAAATAATAATTACAGGTGGATGTAAACATGCTTTAGCTTTTCTAATGTGGGTTCATCGAAGGAGCGAAGACCCTGCCCCCACAGAAATTGCTTCTTACTGGCAGAAACCACGCATGGCAAGTATAGGCTCTACAACAAAATTTGTTGCTGCCAGTCAGTTTTGGTCAGCAAAAAGTTCGGTTGCGGTTACAACATATCCCAATAATCAGCTGTTTTTTAATGACCTTATAGAGAAGGCAAAGAGTGAACAGATATACAGCCAAATTTCAAAATATAATTTTGAAATAGAGGCAGATCAATTTAATAGACTATCAATTCATAAATTATTACTAATGTTTAAAAATAATGGGGGAGTACATTATAGAGATTTTGTGCAATTTATGTCGAGTGAAATGAATGATAATGTAGTAAAAATTGCTGAAGATGCTACGAAAGGACAAAGAAAATCTTCATTATGGTACGAATTAAGGTATGGCAGGATAACTGCATCAAAAATTTATGAAGCAGGTAATTGCAAAACATCGGATGGAACATTAGTCGAAACCATAATAGGAGCCCATAAAATAAGGGAGACAAGAGCTATGAAACGAGGAATTAAATTAGAAAAAGAAGTTTTAAGACGTGTGGAAGAGGAATTGAAAATAAAATTAAAACCATGTGGCATCATTTTGAAACGGGAATATCCAATTTTTGGAGCATCACCTGATGCTATAGCGGATGATTTTGTGGTCGAAATAAAATGCCCAAGTAGTGTAAAGGCTTTATCAAACTATATAAAAGATGGCTTAATCGTAAATAAGTACAAAGCTCAAGTACATCTACAGATGTTTACTGCTCAAAAACAAAAAGGACTTTTTTGTATTGCACAGCCAGATTTTGAGACTTCTAAGAAAATAAATTTTCTATGGGTAAATTTTGATAAAGATTTTATGTCTGAATATATTACTAAATCAGAAAATTTTTGGAAAAACTTTATATATGATAAGCTATATAATAGTGTATAAAATAATCAGGGTGTTGACTGCCATAATTTTAACAGGCGATAGTATACTCTAAATAAAAAAAAACTTATATATGCCATGGATGCTAAACCCAACCATTTTTGAGAAAGAAATTAACAAATTCCAATTTACAATGTAANATTCAGTTAATTAAAGAACTCACTAGTTTTGTGAACATAAATGACCATAAAATGCAATATTTACCCCTTCTTTCAATTTATTTGTTTAGTTTTAGTAAAACATTTTTTTTTGTTAATAAAATTCAATAAAGTTATAGTACTGTTTTAAACATTTATTAAAAATTACCAAAATTAAATTAACTAATTAATGTGTAACTTATTACACTGAAAAATACTAAGTACCTACATAATATGAATATGTACATACAAATACCAACAAATAAAAAATATATAAAATGTAAACATAAATGTTAAAAATTAGATTTTCAACAAGTCATAAACAACTAGGATTTTCATAAACATAAAACCTTATTTTTAATTTTGCCTTGGTACAATTTTTATACGTTTTTACGTATAAAATATAAAAAGAGCCGTGTAAAACCTAACACTGGTTATTTTACTTATTGACTACATACTTCTTATTACAGGCGATTGCAAATTTATTAGGGCACAAGCAATATAAATTACAATATCAGTGTAAGGCAACAATTGATGGTTTATTACTGAATGAGGTTTTAAAAAAGCAAATTCTCGTAATCTCCGTATTAATCTTTCTACATGAATCCTTAAACTTGCAAACGTTTACTTTCAATTACTTCAGCCTTTGTTGGTTTTGTAGAACTGGACAAACTAGGGGGTTTTATAAGTTTACAATTGTTTTCTTTCAACAGGTTATCGACATGCTTAAAGCCCCTATCAGCCACAACTGCATAGTTATGGGGAAGAATATTTAAATAATTACATTGTTCTAATAGTAAAACATCACTGATACGTCCTCCACAACTATTTGACACAAAATTTATAAACCCATCTGGAGTACAGGATATTAAATATTTAAAAGTATTGCACTTTTTATATTCTGACCAGGTTAATGACTGTC